AATTCTTTTGTTTTACAGTCAACAGAAACTGCAATGGTGTTGAGTGTGATACGCATGCGCGGTGTGTCCAGTCCTTAGATAATTCGCTGCAGTGCGAGTGTGATTCTGGCTGGCAAGGCGATGGGCAAAATTGTTCAGGTAAAATGTGAATTGTGGTGAAATCTACAGTAGAACTCCGGTAACTCAAGCTCTGAAGGGATACGAAAAACAGTTCGAGTTATCGGGGTAAATTTCAGTGAAATTTTGATCAACGGTAAAGAAAATTTAGTTTCAGCGCGGATTCGAGTTATCCGAGTTCGAGTTATCGAGGGTCTACTGTAAAAAAGATTCTAATTTATGTATGAGAATGATGTAGGCGCCTTAGACTGTTATTTATGAGAATAATGCTACACGCGTTGGACAAAGAAAACCTGGAGGACTATTTGAGCTTTATTTGAGCTTGCCGTGTGTCTTGATAGCAATACAGCAGTAGGCTGCCGTTGTTTTCTACGGCGCTGTATCCTGCTAATACGGACTGCTACGACATCCTGTGTGGTGACGACCATGTTTATCTCGAAGATGACGAACATTTTTTTGTCTGGATTTGTGCGCGAACTCAAAATAATAGTTTCAGTGGCCTTTATTTAGCGAATTTTAAAATATCACACAGTGTTTTCGTCAGTTTAGATCATAGCGTCAAAAAAATCTGGGTTCTCCAGAACTGACGTGTAGATTAGAGGGACAAATAATTTAAGTAGGCGGCAATAGATTGCATGTGGGTTTAGGTATGGCTGGGATCCCCAGCTCCGGGAAAGTGTTTGGAAAGTGTCGAGCTTCTTTCGTCGGTCCATCGCAAAAATAACACAACATAGCAACGCGTGTGAGTAAATGACAGATGTTGGTACATATTCCACCCGAGGCTGTAACCCCTAATAATGGAGCAGAACCAGCAGAAGCTTGATCAGAGCACAAATAACTTTTGTTTTCTGGTCAAATCCCTGTTGTTTCTACTCAAGCTCCTGAGATTTTTGTTCAAGTTTCTCCATCGGTGACGCGCAGTGGACTTTTAGTTGAAGGTGTTTATCTTTGTAAAAGAGCTGTTAAGTTCTCTGACACTGCTTTTGTGGCTTCCTTTGATTCCTTCCCATGCCTTACCGGCGCGCTAAGTTGTGGCTTCAAGTCTTCCTGTATAGAAGAAGAAGAAGACCTAAATTACCAACAAGTGCAGTGGGATTCCTGAAA